GAAAATAGCGAGCGTTGAGCACCACGTCAAGGCTCCAGAATTGTTCAGCTAACCATGAGTTCCACAGCCATTTGTGAAATTGGTGCAATTCTATCGAAATTGTTAACGTTTAGAAATATAATTAGCTGATCGAAGGTGAATGTGGTGAACTGGAGCTACATAATAGCGCGCTCGCTTGTCGCGCTCGACTTGGTACCAGACGTTATCTGGCGGGGCAGAATTACAGTCCAATACAGTCCTCATCATTGCGGACCGGTGGGGCGTGTCAGCCAGTATGAGTGTGCACACTGTTGAAGCCGTTCTCAGCCTTTTTGTTGAAACGCGTATGCGACAAAAAGTGGTAGAAAACGAGTAATACGAAGGATATAATACAGTAATGTCACTTGCCCGCTTCAACAACTGGTGCAGAACGACTTTGGCACCGCGCCAAACGCAGCCGCACTGACACGCCCCACCGGTCCGCAATGATGAGGACTGTACATTGGCTGTCCACATAAGCCAATCTATAGACCAAATCGCATTGGGAAGCCACCGCAACTTCACCTGGAACTAGAATGTGTGGCGCGTCTTGGGACGGTAGATCATGCGGGAATAGCGGTACTCGGCTTGGTAGGGGCATTTTGCACTTCCTCTAGTTCCTCTTTTAATTCAGATCAACCAAGAGGTCATTTTTTGCAAGACCTGTAAACTCTTGTGAAGCCAAAAAATGGTGCGAGTGACCCTCTTTGGTCACAAGATCTTACCGATCATTACCAGTTGGTCGGTACAGGTTTCGTTGAGTACCATTAGATGCCTCCACCTAGCTGAACTACGCCTCGAAAGTTCTGTCCTTCGTTTCTTGGGAGGCTATCTCAAGAAGACAGATGGCGACACAAAGTGTTATTGACAGAAGCGGACATGGTAGACTTCCAAGAAACTTTCGCAGAATTATTGTTATTAAGGAGGTTCGGTTCTCCAGTGTTAGTTAGATGATTGAAAATACTTTAGATTCGATCACCTAAAACCAGACAGCATTCTGGAGAAGGAAAGACTGGAAGAGAAGGAGAAGGAAGCGCGCAGAGAACGAATTTCCGTCGAGGATCTGAAAAATAAACCAAGAATAGCTGTAACTGGTTAGAACAACAGTTGTTTAATTGTAAAGTCGTAAATGTTCAAGAACTGTTGTTAGGCTGCCATCGTGCTGGCGTGGACGCATTCATGACCGGCTACGCGGCCCTTTTCCAGTGTCGCTTACGCCTTTCTCGGGAAGGGAAATTGGACGACCAGGTGGGTGCAATTGTCAATAAACGTATTTCATTGTATTCATGGTTTCCTTCTTTCCTTGCCTCAACAGTTTTATATTTAAGCACGTGAACCGGATACCTTTGTCTGGAAAGCAAGAGGCAATGATAATCCAATCGACCAAGTTCTCAGGAAACTGTACCAAACATGAAAATCGCTTTGCAGAAATTCAGTCAGCGAGGGACAGAAATAGTAGTGCTGTTATCTCATCTTCCCAAAGCTGACAGTAACTTTATGATGCCCTTTCAACTTTTGTACCTCAATAGTACCCTGCAAGTCTCTTCATGATTATGATGATTCACTTTCAATTGTTTTTAATAATGTTACACCTTCGTATGACGAATGAAATGGATTCTGTCGTGAACATTGCTTGTTGAAAGCTTATTGACATGTTTCTACTGTTGTGAAAAACAACAGCGGTGCAGAAACGACTGGCTGTTCCAGGTCGCAGATGTCGACCCAGCACAAGGGCAATTCATGGGTACGGCAGCGTTTCAGAGTTCGCGTCGATGCGCTGAAGGCAGCGTTCATAGTCCGACAGAGCGCGATCGCTCAGCGATCGGCCGTGATCGCCGGATCGTGCTCGTGTAATGGCAGCGCGCGCCCCAACGCTCATTGTGACATGCTCGACCCTTGATGAAATAAGGGAATTCAACTTGTAAAACTTCTTTACTCTTAATAAGGGCTACTAACAGACAAACTACGACTTTCTACACATAAGCAGATCTGGAATATGAGGTGAAGAACGTTCAGTCGTTTTAGGTGCGGGTAGACACTCCATTTCCTGGGTGAGCTTCTTTTTTTGTTTTTATTGTTTCAATTTATGCATGCGCCTCAGGAATTCCTATCGTCTAAGCTGTTCCAACTTCCAAAACATTCATAGTTTACAAGTCGAGTTCAAACAACGAAGAAAAAAAGAAATAGAAAGAAACTCTCCTAGGAACCAAAGCACTAATTTTACCGGACATCCATAAGGTGAAAACTTCATAAACCTCATGTACAACCTCGACGAATGAAAAAAAGAAGCAATAAAAACGTACCTCAAGTGAAGCTCTCGCGCTTTTTGCTCATTTCTATCCTAAATAAGAAAGAAAATAGAAAACAAAAGCGATTAAGCTGGGCTCGCCTTCTCTGTGTCAAAGGCACATTCAGTACCTAAGGAAATTGCAGTCAAAGGAAAAAAAGCATAAAATTGAGCCGCTTACCCCCAGAAGCCTTCGGAGCGCAAGTAATAGCGTTGGGGCGCGCGTGCCTCATGCACGACCGATCGCGCGTTGTCGATGGCGATCGCGGCGACGGCCGCTGCTGCGTCGCGGAACGCGCTAGACGCGCTACTATTGCAACTGTGCTCCAAGGCTATAGACGCGAACTCAGCCGCGTACAGGAATTGATCGGCGCCGTGCACTAGTGGGGAACATTGATAATCACGTAGTCCGGTATCGATCGACACTTTCCAGGGCTGCGCCGATCGATAACGGTCTACGCCTGCGTTCGCGTCTATAAGACTGGTGACAAGACATCCAGCCAACCGGATGTCTCGCTGGGGAGGTTCAGAGGTGTTTTCTCATTCTGGTCGAGCATTCAGAGAAAGGAAAATAAGGAGAGGCGAATCAGGAAGCGAGGTGGCAGGAAGAGAGTTCCACAACACACGCGCATCTGGTTGGTTAAGGGCAGTTGACGCAGACTTGTTTGGCAGAGAGGTGCACCGGCCATATTCCACCTGCCGTTCGCCGCTCCGGATCCATCATGTACCAGCTACATCCACCTGCAAGTCAGTCGCTGTCTACGCACACCGAGGTCGCTGGAGTCAGCTAATGGAGGAGGTGATCAACTATTATATGGGAAGTCGAATTATATCCCAAGGTGTCAGCTCAGGAAGCGGTACGATCCAGTGTATCCAGTGGGAGCAGATAGCAGACTAGCAAGTTACAGCGTTGCTCCCAAGTATGCTGTTAACCTCTGTTTGAACTGCATCACTGTTCAAATGAGGTTTTGGTGGTTCAAGTGGTAGGTACATGTTTATTGATAACACATAGCGCATACAACGTGACTACAATCATCAAAACTACAAGCATAAACATATGAGGTTAAGCTACTAGTATATTCGTGTCAAGTGCAAGTTAAGTTGTGTTGTCTTGTGTTCTTCTTCAGGCGATAGCGGGTCCGCAGTGTCTTGTGTCTCGTCTCTTGTGTAGGCACATCGTGTTCGT